TTTGGCTGGGATAGATGCTCAGGAGTGCAGTTGCTGGGTTGGACAGTAGTTGCGTGTTTGATTTTTAAAGAAACTGCCAAGCTGTTTTCCAGAGCGGCTTCAGCATTTTACATTCTCAGCAGCAATGTATGAGTCATCCACTTTCTCTGCATCCTTACCAGCATTTGGTGCCGTCACTATCTTTTATTGTAGCCATTCTGATAGGTGTTTCGTGACACTTCATTGTGTTTTTAATGTGCATCCCCCAAGTGACTAATAATGTTGAACATCTCTTCTTGAGTCTTTTTTTCATCTCTGTAACCTCTTCGGTGAAGTGTCTGTTCATGTATTTTGCCCATTTTAACTCGATTTTTTGTTTTTGTTCAGTTTTTTTTTTTTTTTGTGGTATGTGGGCCTCTCACTGTTGTGGCCTCTCCCGTGGCGGAGCACAGGCTCCGGACGCGCAGGCTCAGTGGCCATGGCTCACGGGCCCAGCTGCTCTGAGGCATGCGGGATCTTCCCGGACCGGGGCACGAACCTGTGTCCCCTGCATCGGCAGGTGGACTCTCAACCGCTGCGCCACCAGGGAAGCCCTTTGTTCAGTTTTGAGGGTTCTTTATATGTTTTAGGTGACAGTCCTTGATGGCATATGTGGTTTGCAAATATTTTCTCCCAGTCCCTATTTTGTCTTTTCATGCTCTTTCTTGATGGGAACTGTGTTAAGCCTGTGTATCAGCTTGGAGAGGATCGACCTCCACCCTGTTCAGGAGGCAAAGCAGGAAACCCAGCGCCTGCGCACCTTGTCACCCTTCACTCCCGAGCTCCCTGGCTGGGCTGCTGCTTCTTGACTTGGAGTCTCCTTGTGCTTGTTTCATATATAATGTCCAGGGCTTTTCATTATGCTGACAAGAGGGTAAGAGGAAAGTATACCCACGTCTGAAAGTGGGAGTCAGCAAGCATTTTCCTTAAACTTAGATCAGAGGGGGTCAAGCTTTCTGTTTTCTAGAGCCCTCTTCGCTTTTACCTTGGGTAAAGCTGGGTAAGATCCAGACTTTAAAGTGGACCCGCTCGAATCTCTCTCTCTCTCTTTTGCAAGGTACTAAAAGCAAAAGTTGTGGGTTGTACGTGAGAAGGTAGTCAGCTGTGATTCCTTTTGTCTTTCTAAGACCTCACGGCCCCGCCCTAGGACCCCCTCAGCCTCCCAGTACCTCTCTCCTCTCCTCTCAAGCATCACTTTCCCCTCCCTCCTGGAAGGTCCTCCGTAGCGCGGCTCTCTCTTCCTCGGCCTGGGCGCCCGCTCGGCAAGCTCACCCGCACTGAGTATGACCAAGCAGCGTGGTTCTGGGCAGGCGGTGGGGCTGGGTCCCCCGCCCTCGGCCCTGGGGCGTGTGTGACTGCGCTTTCGTGGGATGGATACAGCCACCTCCTCAAGGTAAGTGACGCCTACGCTCTCCTGTTCCACCTCTCGGCTGGCCACCTGGGTGGCTCTCAGGGCGGTCTGTGAACTCCCCACTTCTTCCGGCGGCCGGTGGACCCTTTTCCTTGAAGATACCGCCATGGTTGGCAACTGAGTTATCCGGCATGGCCGCAGACAGCTCCTACCCCGTTCTCTGGAGGCAAAGGGGTCCTCTGCAGCCTCTCTGAGAACGGCCACCTTGTCCAGCACTTTGTTGGCCGGCAAACGGCACCGCGGCGCCCCCGCCCCTCACCTGTGGCTGCGGCCACCTCGCCCACGGCAGTTACTCCGAAAAGGAGAAAGAAGCTCGGAGGAGGCGTGTGGCTGAGAGGGGCTGAGATTGCAGAGCCCGATTCTGGGGCGCACGCCTCTGCCCCGAGGCAGGGCTGCCTTGGCAGTTCCTACCTCTGCTCCCGAGGTGTGTGTTGTAAAGCTCTCCTGCCTGCCAGGTGCCGTGCTGGAACGCAGAGAGTGGCCCAGGCGCACCTCTGTCCCACCCAGCACGGTTTGTTTCCTGAGGGAGTTACAGCGTGGTGAGGAGACACAGCTGCAGACGGCGCGAGAGCGGTGCGCACTCGACTGGGGCAGCACGGCACACACTGGGCCTGCTCGCAGCCCTGCGGCGGGGGGCGAGCAGGAAGGCGCCCCTGAGCGGCCGCTGCAAAGTGGGGTCCTGTGGGACGTGGAGGAGTTTACCAGGCACCAGGAGGGATGTGCTGCAGTTGGTGGGGGTCTGGAGCTTAGGGCATAAGGAGGCTACTAGAGCAGGCTGGGGTGGGGACAGGTGTGTCCATGGCCGCCGGAAGGAAGGAGGCAAGGCCAGAGGGAGACCAGGTAGCACAGGCAGCCGGCTGCGGGCTGGAGTGAGTAAATGAGGCGTGGTCCCTGACCAGCAGGAGTGGCATCAGTGGGGTGCTGGTTCGGAGTGCGGATCCTGCACACCTTGCCCTCCTGAATCAGCACTCTGGGCAGGGCTGGCCCCCGACTTCTGACAAGGCCTCCAGGGACCCTGGGGCCCACCCAAGTCTGGGCGATTTAAAGCAATGTGAAAGAGGAGAACCGAGGATGGCGAGGGGTAGGGAGTGAAGGACAGGCCCAGGGCCTGCGGAACCCCACGTGTGGTCTTCCTGAACCCTGAGCTGGGATTGGACCAGCCGTGTCTGCCCATGGCATGTGCAGAGGAGGGAAGGATGGCTGGTGGGAGGAGGGAGGGTGGCTGCCAGTGAGTGTCACGTGTCATGAGCGAGGGAGCGGGGAGAGGGAGCGGGGCTGGGGCCGCAGCAGCAGGGCTTGGATGACTAACCAGTGTCTGCTGCTTCCCAGAAGCCGGTCCTTAGGGGGCGAGTCTCACGCTTGGCTGCGTATTGCAATCAGCTGGGGGAGGACAGAGACACGGCGGGTGCCCAGACTCTGACTGCGGTGGTCCGGGGGCCACCTGGGCCTCCAGGGGTGAGAGGCATTGCTGGGGGAGAGAGCACAGAAAGATCCCTCCCACTTCCGCATCAGATCTGCTCTGGTTCGTGCGAAGGGGCCTACGGGCCATCGTTTAACTTGATGTCTGGCTTCTCATCCTTGCCTGTTTTCTTTTTGGATCTTCTGTACGACCTTTTTATTTCTGCTCCAAAGATCACCCCACCTCTGCTATCACTGTCCCCACATGCTGCATTTAACTCATCATTGACTTAGCACATAAAATAGTTACGGTTTTTACGATAGTTACTTTCTAACTCGGCCACACGGACTTTAACGCTGTGCGTGTTAATCCCCACTTCACCCGTGGCCCCGGCACTGTGGCTTCTGCTCGTTGTCACTTTTCACCTTCACAAGCACCAGACAATTCTCTCATCTATCATGTTTAGGGTTTCTTTAGGCTTTTTGCTTCCCAACTCCCTAAAACATCAGCTCCATGAGGCCAGGGGTTCTGTCTGTCTTGTGGTTTTGTTTGTCTCAGAAACAGACTTACCTTCATAATTACGTTTGACTCAGCTTAAGATAACTTTATGTTCCCTGGACATGAGTGACAAGAGAAAGTGTCTCAGAGATGCTCTGGATGGTAGAATTTGGGTGTGAAGCTTTTCTCTATTACATGTGACTATAATCAAGCATCATCTTTTTTTTTTTTTTTTTTTTTTTGGGGTACGGGGGCCTCTC